TGTCCACCTTGTAGAAGCCTTTCATAATCTTGAAATGCCTCTATTGGGTCGCCTCTCAATCATCTCAACTGTAGAGAGAAAAGCTCCAAGCTGTCCATTCTTTCTTCATACCTGTATCACTCATCCTTAGTAACATTGTGTACATCTCTTCATCGCTGCAATTCTCTTCCTATAGTGTGGTCATCTGAACTGTACACAGCACTTAAAATGAGGTCTAACCAAGGTTATGTATGAATCTGACGTGTTTCATAACTTTTATACTGTATTCCTCTGGACATAATGATTTTTGGAGTAGCGTTTTGGTTAGAACACTCGCCTCGCAAGCAAGAGGACCTAGGTTTGATTCCTGGCATGGCAAAATGTTAGGCAAGTTTCCTTACTCCACGTGTCTCTGTTTACCTAGCAGTAAGTAGGAACCCGGTTGTTAGTTGATTGGCAGATTGTTTCTCTGGGGGTAATAATCCCTTCAATGTTTTTTTAAAAAATATATAATTTGGGTCACTGAATCCACGACTGTTTGTGGGACACTGCTATGCGCAATTGGCTGCTGTGTTTCGCCCGCAGAATATACTGACTGTATATCTGTAAAGCGCTTTGATATATCTGGTGGACATGATAAGGTACTATATGAAATGCAAGGATTATTATATTAAGATGCTTACAGTAATGCAGGAAGTTAACAAGTTATATGGTGGACAACTCTCCCCTCTGTTAGAAGATCCAAAAAGGGGAAAAAATAAAGTTGGGATGGTCAGAAGTAAGATTAGAAAGCATTTCCTTACTCACAGGGTTTTGAACATGTGGAATGCATGTTCTCGAAAGGCCATAGAAGCTGATTTAATTGGGATATTCAAAAAAGAAGAGAATTGAGTAAGTAAGAGAAAAGATGAGATATGATCAGAACATCTGAGATACTGAGCACTCTGGGATACTGCCCTGTGTGAGCGGGCTATTATAAATGAAAGTTGTTTCTGTAGACCGATGGAACAGGCTTGATAGGCTGAATGGCTTTCTCTGTATTCCTATATCTCTACATCTTATCTCTAATAATTCTTCTTCACAGTTTTGATCCTGACTCGCTGTATTTTGTTCATTTCTTAAACCGTCATATTTAGCGGGGGACAGCAATGCAAAAAAACAAAGAATTTTCTTTGTACTGCATATTCCTGTTGCTTGAGCAGATTTTTTTTCAATAAACTTGTTCCCTGTAAAACAAAATTCCTGATTATTTTGCTGTTTCTGGGGTGCATCTAATAATGACCCACTGCAGAAGCAGCCATACTTGAAAATGTTTTCATATTGATTAGTTGGCCAGGATGAATTTACAACCTTGCACAATATAAAATATTGAAAATATATTTTTTTAAATGACATCTCGTGCCCTCTGTAATCCAAAACTGAGTCACCATAGTTTAGAGGCATATCTGTTAATTGACAAATAGGTTTAATTTTTTTAATGTAGCCAAATGGATCAACTTAGAAACAGTTTGTTCAATTTTGATCAACGTGTTGTAGATATTTATCAGAAAATGATCTGCAGCATCCTTATAGCATTGATGCCAACTTGTTTCAAAGCATGATTTTGTTTGCTGATTGTTTGTTAGTGGGCTGTGATTCCTATGTTCGAGCAAGCGAATAGGAGACGAATTTTAAAAGATTGGGAAAGATTCAAGCAGGCTGAAAAAATCCATATGGAGGTGGGATAGGGATAGAGGGGATGTATGGAAGTGAGGCAGAAAAACACATTGAATCAAAAATACTTATTCACAAATGAAGTATACTTATGCTCGCTCCTACCAATCTTTTTCCCAGGTAACCCATTGGATGGTATTTTATGGACCCTTACAATGGTGTTATAATGGGCTTGTACTGTATTTGTGTACCTTTTGTATCTTCAGCAAATAGGATTATGATCATACATCAAAATGATATATTGTGTTTAACTCTTAATTTATGAAAATAGAGAACCATTTAACCTGAGTGCCCACACACTCCAGAAACTTATTGCATGGCTCAGTGAAATGCTTCCTTTTCCTTTTAAAAATAGTTTTCCCTCTTCTGATAAGTTTGAACTAGAATCAATGTGTTTGGTATTGCAATTTCGAGGTTGAAATCTACAGAGTGACCAAAAAGTCATGATAACTACCCTATTATCTAACAACAAAACAAAAATACAACTTTTATTTAAGACTTATTATTCGACATTGTAATGGTCTTTTTGGTCACCCTGTAAATTGTATTTAATTGTCCAGTGAAAGTCAACTTCTGCTTTTCTTAAATTCTACTCTCCGTTTAGTGAGTAGGAAACTTAAAAATGAAGCATTTTTGGTGTTAGTTCTCTCTATACATTAATATTTCCCTTTTTAATAAAATGTTTCACAGAATGAAGCAGATAGATTTTGAGGGAGCATTCCAGAGAAGGGCAAATGAAAGCTGTCCCACTGATGGGGTAGAGGAGTTTGGGCACTTGATGCAGGGCAGAGGTGGTGGAGTGGAGGGAGTGGGTTGGTGAGTGAAAATTGCAGGAGATAGAAAATTTATGATACAGCAAGGTTATGAAAGGTTTTGTTGATCTTGGGTTTAGGGAGCCAGTGGAACCTGGGTGAAGATGGGGAAGATCGACCCCTAGAGCCTTATGCAGGAAATATTGGGGGTAGCAGAGTTTTGGATGATCTCAAGCTCCTGGAAGGTACACTTCGGGGCGCGCAAGGCTTTTGCGAAGTTGAGTCTGGGGATGACAAAGGTATGGATGATGGTTTCAACTGCTGGAGTGAGGTAGTGACTGAGGTGAGTGATATTGCAGAGATGGAGGAAAGCAGTCTTTGTCAAGGACTGGCAAGAGATGAGGGTCAAGCAAAGCACCAAAATGTCATGGAGCTTCCCATGAGCTAGAGTGAACAGCCGGGGAGGTTGAAATGATCAGTGTTTGAAGAAAGGAGGAGCCTGTGGTAGAAGAGCAGAATAGCTTCAGTTTTGTCAACACTAAATTGGAGAATGTTAAGGATCCCCCCAGGACTCAAAGTCTCATGGGCAGTCGGCCAGAATATTATTGGTCCTAGATGCTAAGGTGGAGACAGAAAATAGAGTTGGGTGTCATCCACATACATTTGTAATTGGACCCCATGCCTGGAGATAATGTTCCCAAGGGGATGCATATGGATGAAGAAAAGGAGAGAATAGAACATAGGGTACTAATGAACACTGCAAATGACTATGTGAGGGCAGGAAAAGAAATATGTTGGAAGAGATATAGGAAAGGCTTTGGGAAAGTAGGAATAGAACTAGGAAAGTGTGGAACCATGGAGTTGCATTTTCGTACTTATGCAGCAACACTGGTTTTCTTCATCCCAGCTGCATTGCTCACTTTACCCCTATCTGACACCAAATGACTTTGCTGTCCGATCTGGACCGTCACAAAGTGGAAGTTAAAGATCCCATAGCACAATTTGAAAGGGGAAGGTAGTTTTTCCCCAATGCATTGGCCAACTATTTCCCAAATAAAATTGGTCATTCACTTCATGGCTGTTTGTGGGATTTTGCTGTTTGCAAATTTGCTGCTGCATTGACATGCAAATTACATTTATAAATAAAGGGTATTTACGTGAAGTGCTTTGAGATATCCTTTCAATGTGAAAGATGCTATATCAGATGTAAGGATTTTTGTTGTTTACTACTGGTATAATTGCTGATGGAACAATTGTTTTAGTTGTTGCTGATTTGTGGTTCACATGAATTATCTGTACTGTGTAAGGAAGGATTAATGTGTCAAAATACTACCTTCAGGAGAGTACATTGTACTGCGCAATTAATTTCTTGTCCGGTCTATAATTATGTTACCGATTATATGGAGAGCTGTATTTTTTGATCAATTTAGATTCTTTGGGAATTAAGTTCTAATTGACTTATGTGGGCTAGGATCCTTTCAGGCAGTGGTGGGGCACATTCCGTCTGGGCATGAGTTTTAGACTTATGTATATCCTGTGAAGTGCTTTGAAAGACGTCCTCCTGACCTGAAAGGCACTATACCAAATGTTAGGATTGAAAGGTGGTCTTCTTCAGGCTCCTCCCTCCTCAGAAATTTAATGGGTAAAGACTGACTGGATAAAGTGTTCTTGTCAAAAAAAATATATTTGACTGGCAAAGAGATTTACCTGGCAATAAGTCTGCTGACAATTGGTTCTTCCATCTTTACACATCTACAACAGTTTTTTGAGCAATCTTATCAGCATTTTAAGCTGCTTACTTTAGTGTCTTCATGGGGCAGTTGACAAATTAATCAAAATAATATTAAAAATACTCGAATCCCATCGCACTTTACTATTGTTGCTATGGAGAGAAACTTAGTAGAGTGGCACCATCATGCGTACTGACAAAAAATATCGTGGTTTCCATATTTGACTGAGAGATTTCAAGACAAGTGGGTCTGTTTCACTTTCTTCCCACCCCAGATTAAATTCTAATTTTCCACATTTTATATGAAGCTGACATTAGGAATTAGATACTATGAATTATGTACAATGTCATGTTACAGAACTAAGGCTGCTTTTCCGTGTTTGTAATTTGTAGTTTTTCATTTAACAAGTAATTTGGACTTCAAATTGACAATTCAGTTTATTTAGCAAAATATTGTCTCTTTTGAGATTCTTAACAATATGAAAATAAAATTATGTTCCAGTTTAGTTTTTAAAAATTAAAGAAATCTCAATGAAATAATGTCAGCCGTATCACATTTACTGATGTTCACATATCTTTATGCTTTGTGATGTTTTGATGACCAAATAATTTTTCTTGCAAGTAGAGAATAGATTTTAGTTTGCAATGGATTTATATCTCAAATCAGCATATTGATATTTGTGATAAACCTACGGCCTTCGTTAGTGATCAGGTAAATTTAAGAAAGCCTTAAGTAAATTTGGGGAACAAACATATAGACTTATATAAAGTTTTTAACCAAATCAACTCTTTTTCTGACTTAAAATCTGTTTTACTTCTGTTTACAGAGACAAGCTAACAGCAGCAGCTCACCCAGCCTGTTGAGTGATTGTGCCAAAGCGTATGCTTGTGCAGGGCATGGTAAAGTATTATATTATTTTGTAATTCAGCTTCTGTGTTGTAGGTTTAAGAAACTGTATTACAATTGCATTCCAAGAATATAATTTGCAACAGGAAATTTAAAGATATGTTTCTATCAATGAAAGTTCTCAAGTTTAAGTAAACTGCAAAATCCTATAACTTTATGTATGATTCAAAAATTGTGCTCTTTATGCATATATTATATTCCTGACCTATTTGTAAATCTATGCAAGTGTTCATCAGTGTTGGTGTAATTGGCGGGTGGGAGGGGAATGCTCTGATTTGAATTGATCTAGGTTGCTAGTATTATTGTTCAAGAAGGTTACAGAGGTAGCGTGGGGCAAGTCTGTTGAATGATTTAAAAGTGAAGACGAGGATCCTGACCTCAATACTCTGGAGGATTGGGAGCCAGTGGAGCTGGCTGTTTACTTGTTTATTGCTGCTTTACACCATTCTAACATGGTGAGTGACCAGTCAACACCCCCAGATCTCTTCTAGCTTCAGCTCTTCGATCGCGCCTTTCTCTTCGATCGTGCCTTTGGTCATCCTCCCAACTCTCTGCCTTCCCCCACCCCTACACCACCCCTCTCCCATGCTCGGGCCCCAACACCTGATTGTTTAGCGCTTTGGGAAGTCCTCCCGACATGAAAGTAGCTCTATAAATGTAATTTTGTTGTTGTTGTTCCTCCTTGGCAAGTTCTGTCTTATCCATGGAGTATTTGTGTTTCTTATTATTGCATCCTATATGTAGTATCTTGCATCTGTCTGTATTAAACAGTGCTATGGGACGTTCTCCCGACGTGATAGGCACTATACAAACATAATTTGTTGTTATTGTTAAACTTAATTTGCCTATCACCCCCCATCTGGGCAAGGATAGGGTGATAGGCTTGTGAAGCCTAATGTGGGAGAGAATATGAGCTGCAGAGTTCTGGGTAGGTAAAGAGTTGGCATAGTCTAGCCTGGACATACTGAATCCACGAATGAAGGTCTCGGCGGCCCATCGGAGAGGTCGTGGCAGTATAGAGAGCAAAGAGGATGATCCCCAGTGTTAAAGGAAGGAGCTTTCAGCAACTATTAGACACGCTAAGAGTTTTCATTCATGAGAGAAGATGACTCAGAGGGGATCTTAGAAGTATATAACATTTTAAATGGAATTGCAAAAGTAATCCAAGATCCTAATATTTTAGGATGCACAAGACAGTCGAAGAAGAGGGCATAGGAAGAGTAGGCCATTCAGCCCTCAAGCCTGTTCCGCCATTCTATTAGATCATGTCTGATCTATATTTCAACTCCAATTACCTGCCTTTACCTAACAAAAATCTATCCATCTCAGTGTTGAAAATTTGAATGGATGCATAATCCACAGCCTTTTGGGGGAGAGAGTTCCAGATTTCCATTACCCTTTGTGTGAAAAAATACTTCCTGATTTCACTCCTAAATGAAATCTGTTTAGGATTTTTAGCTCTAATCTAGCTCTAATTTTAAGATTATGCCCCCTCATTCTGGATTCCCCCACAAGAGCAAATAGTTCCTCTGTAACCACCCTATTGAATCCCTTTTATTATTTAAAACACCTCAATTAGATCACCCCTCAATCTTCTAATCTCAAGAGAATACAGCCCAAGTTTATGCAATCTGTCCTCATAATTGAACCCTTTAAGCTCTGGTATCATTCTGGCGAATCTGTGCTGCACCCCCTCCAGGGCCAAAATATCTTTCCTGAGGTGTAGTGCTCATAACAGCATTACTCTAAACCTCTGAGGGACAGAGGTTTAGAATTCAGGCCAACTTCAGGACAAATACCAGGACATTTTTTACCCAGAGGATAAACATCGACTAACAGCTTACTGTGCTGGGAAGAGTGGTTGAGGCCAGGATATTAGACTCATTTAAAAAGATTGATGCTGTGATGGAAGGGTGATAATAAATAATTATTTGCATTTGATATAGCGCCTATCACATCTTTGAGTTGTCTCAAAGCACTTCACAGAATATACTGTAAAGTGAATTGACGATATTTTGTGGGAGAAACGCGGCAGCCAATTGTGTGTAGCAGTGTACTACAAACGGTCGTGGATTGAGTAACCAAATTATTAAAATTTTATTTATTTTTTACACCCGCAAAAGTGATCTGTCAATCGACTAACAACTGGGTTCCTACCTGCTGCTAGGTAAACAGAGGCGTGTGGAGTGAGGAAACTTGCCCATTTTGCCCTGCCTGGGAATTGAACCCATGTCTTCTCACTTGCAAGGCGAGTGCTCCAACCACTAAGCTGAAACATTGACTGTCCAGTGCCTTGGGACGTCCTCCTGACGTGAAAGGAGCTTTTCAAATGTATTGTTGTTGTAAACTACAGGACTCCACAGGGTGGATTTTCTGGAGGGATGAGATCAGATGGGATGAAGTGTTTTCATCATCCGATCTAATCTTGTGATTTTATGACAAATGCCTTTCTATGCAATGATAGGTATGGGCTTATTTATTGCCTTGTGGCAAATTTGCTCCAGTTTCTTAAAGGTGAAGGTTCAAATGGATCCATTAGCTGTCATTGAAACATTCTTTAAGGGAGAGATATCTGTGTGATTTCTTTAATTTTTCCCTCTTTTTTTCAATTATTTGGATGGATTAAACAGTTGTACCATGAATGTGAATGAATGCACCCAGGAAATCTGCATACAAGTACAATCACTGCACTCTAGCAATTACCCATGAACCTTTTTTGGTGTTGTAGATCCTATATCATTATGGATTATAATCTCATTTACTTTGTTCACATCTAGCATTACATGTACTTATACAGAAAAGGGATCTCCTTTTGGAAACTATCCTACTTGCTTGATTTTTTTCAAAAACAAAGGTTGCCAGTTCAGTCGAAATAGAATGGTGTACTCTTGTATATTTAAAATCTAAATTGCTAGTTGTGCAAAATATAAAGAAAACAGCTATTTTTGGCAGAATTTTATTTTGGGAGAATTATATGCAAATTTAATTGTGATACCATTCAGAATTTATGTCAAATTAAGTGTTCATTCACATCTTTCTTTTATATAGATCCGGTTTCGTCACTATTTAGTGATTTTCCTGGACTCAGCTTATCGCAAAGGAGAAAGGTAGGCAGTTTTGCTACATTGTAGGCTACCAAGTAATGAAATATACACACGTGCATACACACAAACTTGCATTCAAATTACTGTAAGATTACAAGATCCTTATTAAAATGGAACTTTGATTATCTGCCATAAAGAGACCTTCTGTCCAAATGGGTGATTGAAATTGTCAGAGTCCTTGCATAAACCTACAAGTTGCTTACTTTTTCTGTTAACCTTTTGCACAATCTTCTTATTTAACAAAATGCAAGAATTGGAAAAAGAGTTTGGTAGGTGTGTTTGGCGGACTTGGTGTGAAGTGGAGGACCAGGAGCTGTTCACAAGAGAAGGAAGATCGAGGCCCCCTCAATCAGATTAGGCATGAAGAGGAACGACACCAGAAACTCCAACCTGAATCAATGGCTGAAATTGCTATGTGATGTCACTTCTGTGTACACTATTTTCTAACCTCCAGGCTTTCTCCTGAGTGCCAGCCCCAGTGCTCCTTGCCCCTCTGTACTGTCTCCTCCAGCCCCTTCCTTACCTACAGGCTGACCATACCCTGCTAATCGCTTGCTCCAAGTGTTTGTGTGTGTGTCGTTCTCCCCTCCCTCCCGGACTTGGGATCAAACCACACTGCTATTATTGGTAAAGCATTTCCTTTTATGGATCAATTGACATCTGCAGATTAAAACAAAAATTGCTGTAGATTTCTACTATCCAAATAATGAAAAATCTGTTTTTTCCTCAAAATAGTGTTCCCAATCCTTTGAGGTTTACTGGAAAGATGAAAGGATCTTGCCATTACGAGATGTTTAAAGTGATGTGCTGTATCTGCTGCTCGTTTCTGTTTGAAATTGAAGTTTGAAAATGTCATGCTTTTTTGTACAGGGAACATCTTTCAGTCTTAATGAAGCTCTTTTGAAGTGTCAGTGTTGCCAAGTGTGCTATTCATTTCCCATGGCCCACATTTTTCCTATCATGAACCATCAAATATTGCAAAGTTGTTCTGTTTGGAAACCTTGCCCTTGTATAAACTGTTCTGTCAACGAATACAAACGGTATGTGCATAAGGCAGAAAGGCCTGACCGCCGGTGGTCGGTTGGATGGGGCGGGGAACATGGGGCCAGGCCAGTGTCCTCTGAGCAGTGGGAGTGGGAAGGCTGAAAAGGTGTTAGAAGATCGCAGAAGTAGGGAGGGGAAAAGCTGTGAAGGGCTTGTAAGTGAGGACAAGGATTTTAAACTCAATCCTCTGGATGATGGGGAGTCAGCAAAGCCAGGATGATCAGTTCCTGTGGGGCATTCCATGTGGGGCATTGATGTGTACGCAAATTGGCTGCCGCGTTCACCTACAAAAATAAGTCGATTGCACGTTACTGAAATTTTGAATAGGAATGCCTTTCAAAACTTGTTTTCCTCAGTACTCTTCTTTATATCAGAAACTGAGTTGATGGAGGTTTCAGTGCTCCAAGATGCTATCATATCTGAAGGGTGCTATATAAATGGAAGTTGTTACTGAGGTTAACAACAACATGCAATTCATAAAATTTGCAAAAGGATCTCTAGTGCTAATAAAGATACCTTAATTTACTATACTTTCAAAATGGCTAATTGGATGTGGAAAGACCAGAGAGCAAACGCAATAGTGCAAAAATAAATCGTAATAGGAAATTATTTAAAATCAAAGGCAGAATTAAACCCAGTCTGGTTGCCTGCTGGAAAATGCGCCACCTGAAAAACAGAACCAATGACACAAACACCATATGATTCTCAGTTGCAAAACTTTGGCTCCGATGAGGTCTCGGGTCTGAAACTAAGTCTCACTTAGTTTGACTATATAAGAGATATGAGTGCACTGTATACATGCAAAACAATTGTCATGCAGGAAAATCGAACAATACTATTGCATGATACTATTTTTAATTTAAATTTGAATTTAAAGTACGTTTTTCCATTTGCCTTGTTTGGTTGAGCCTGTAGGATGCCTAAAGGGTGCTATATAAATGCAAGATGCTGTTATTGTTGACTGATTTGTTAATAGGTTGTCATCAAGAATATCTGAACCGATATGTGAGTTTATTCAGCAGGCAAAACACTGCTTTTTTTTAAGAAGCATTATTATTTCAAAATTGTGTTTCTCAGCAGTACTTTATAGCTCGATGAAAATAAATGTGACCAGTTTCAAATATAATACTTTCTAATCACTTCTCAAAACTGAAAAATATGAAATTTTTGGATGGATAGTTTTGCGATTAATTGGATGGAATTGTTTTGTCTACAGATGCCGAATCCAGCTGCAAGTGAATTCATCCCTAAAGGAGGATCAACCCCTAGACTAAGTGCTATGTCCCAGTCCAACATATCTGCCTTTTCACCAGCCTTGTTCTCTCATCCGTCCTTGAGTCAGACGGCAGCTGGGTTAGTGCCAGGTAAGAATATGGAGGATTGACAGAAAAATACATTTTCTTACCTTCTGTTGCAGTAATTGGTAGGAGTTTAACTTGCTGCCAATGATAGTATTTCTAAAATATTTTGCAGGGGAGAATTTTTATTGGAGGTTGGAAAGTCATTTTAAGTATTCCCTTCATAAATTGTGTTCAAAAAGTTATGTTTTTAAAAAAAAAAGTGGTGAGAATATTTCCTCGTCGAGGAAATACTGCTTTATGGTTCAAAAACAGCTTGAAGATTGTTAGGAAGAGAAAATGGAAGAGAACCTACTTTGATGGTCCAAACCACAGTCAATATGGAACTTAATATTTGAGCTTAAATACTGATGTTGTGGAATGAGTTGATCTATGGCATCAAGCAGATCTTTTTCATCTAGTAGTGCCCAAGAAACTATTCGAATGAAATTCTATCAGCGAGAAGATTTGTTTTCCCTCAGTCATTATTGAAGGAGTGTTTCATAGTACAACTGAAATTGGCTGCATCTAATGCAAGGATTATTAGTAATATATCTGCCTTCATTAAAGCAGTGTCTAACTTAAAAGGTGTATTATCCTGGCTCAATGGTAGCACTCTCGCCTTACGGGTTCCACAACAGGATTTGATATACTCTAGGCTGCCACTTCATTGCAGCGCTGGCGGTGTGCTGTATTGTCATAGATAAGACATTAAACCCTTCTGCCTATTCATGTTGATGTTAAGATGCCATGGTACTATTCAACAAGACAAGGGATTCTGTCTTGTGGTACTGTTTGTAGGATATTGCTATGTGCAAATAGACTGCCACTTTTGCCTACAAAATACAGCCACTACACTTTACATTGAATCCTGTGAAGCGCTTTAACATGTCCTCCCAATGTAAAAAGTGCTATACCAAATGCAAGGATTATTATTAAGATGGGTACTTAATGGACCATGATGCTTTGTGGCATCGAAGCATGAAAATCATGAGAATAGCACGAAAATGTGGTTGTGCATCATGACGATGCAGAACCTGACCAATATGCACTAATAGGTTGTGTATTGTGCTTTCTTCATGCATGCACAGTGATGCGCTAGTGGTTCATGAATCTGGAAGGCTAACTTGTGGAGGTGTAAGCACTCTTAAGTGCTCCAAGATGCTAGCTGAGTGAAGGGCTCTTTATAAATGCAAGTTGTTGTCATTGAGGTATTATGGCACCCTTGCCTGTAGGACAGGTTGGAAATTTCAGGGTCCCAACAGGTACTTATAACAGGGTTCCCCTGTAGGTATGAGAGTTGATTGCAATCTTCCAGAGCTTGCTGAATTCTGAGATAATACCAGAGGACTTGAAGTGGTGAATGTTGTTCCTGTTCTCAAAAAAAGGAAGTAGAGGTTATCCTTGTAATTTTGGCCAGTAGCGGTGAAGTTACTGGAATTAATTGGGTAAGATTTTTTTGGGTCCATGCAGAAACTCATCACCAAGCTGACAAGAATCCAAACCAGACTGTTTTTTACGTATGCCACCTACGCATGGATACTTTCCTTTGTCTAAGATGAAGTGCGTGCTCTCTCCCTTTTTAACTGAGAAGCTGTTTTTAATTGGAACGTTTAACCAGTTAAAACTGCCATTGTGAGCACTTTCTGGCAAGCTTGCTGTTGCTTGTCCAGATAAGACCATCTTTAGTTATGGCTTTGGTTTGCAAGATTGACAGGAACCAAGTGGGAAGAATCAATATTCCTCGTGATTGATCCTGGCAACAAGTCAGGCTGGCAGGTATGTTGTCAATGGAGTTCTCAGGAACTAGCAACTGCCACAAGGATTGACTCAATTCTGATATACCGTGTGAACCCCAAGATGACCCCGTTTACCTTCCCTCCTCCCCCAGGATGTTAGTCACAGTTGGTAATGGGCATCCAACAAATGCACGTTTGAGCCCTCACTGGTAGTAGGCACTAGGATCTCCTTGTAAGCCTTGGGTGAGCAGCCCAACACACCAGGAAACACACACTACTTATTGTAGGTTCCACCAATTGAAAATGTGGAGCTTCAGCAGCAGCTGTTTACTTATGCATGTCATCTAAAATACAATAGATGAGTACCTTGATAGATGCATGCTGATCAGGGAAAAGTTAGCATGTTCCTATCAGAGGCAAATAGATAGTGGAGCAAAAGCAAAGGATGTTCTTCATATGGATTTCTGTAAGGCTTTATCTAAAATTTCTGCATAGAATTGGATAAATTAAGGTGCATGACGTTGGAGTCACTTGAGATGGATAGGGAATTGGCTTGATGTTAGAAGTCAGAGAGTTAGTGTGAAGACCAATTAAAAAGACATTCTTGGGCTGGTAGGTGAGGATCAAAGGAGTGCCCCAGGGATCTATGTTGGATCCACAGCTGTTCTCAGCATATATCGATAATCTTGATTTAGGTACAGAGGGGAGTACATTCAAGGTTGCAGATGTTGTAAAGCTTGGAAGTGTAGTGAACTGCATGCACTACAACGTTATGCAATGTTTTCCAGCAGATATTTACAAATTGGGTGAATAACAGGTGCATTTCAATGTGATCAAATGTACAGTAGTGCATTTTTGTCAAAAATGGTCGGAAATACAGAGTGACAGTGTACATCTGATAGAAAACTAACAAAGGGGAGGGTTTGAACAAGTGATAAGCTGGGAATATTATTGGAACTCAGAAAGCTGGGGTGCAGATTTAATTGAGATGTTGAAGATTATCAAGGGAATCAACAAGCAGAGCTACTGTTTACCCCAATGGGAGCCAATTAGTTACTGGAGAACATGACCTTAAAATCAAGACTAAATGAGCCAGAAATGAAGTTCTTCTTGCAGGGACTGACTCTGAAATGTACTTGATGGCTGTTTTCGAGTTTGCTTAATGACCTCCAATATCAGGATGCTATCAAGAGCTTTTCCTCAAGAAATTAAGTGCTATGGGTTATGCATTTTCTATGGAGGAAACCGGCTTGATTGACAAAATGACCTTATTTGGCAAACTCAACATACTGTTTTATTCCATGATCAGAAACATTAGCAGAGTAAAACCCCAAAGCTTGTTGGGAATGCCTACTTTCAAAGAATGATTTTAAGGTAAGTAATCTAATATATTCTATATTTTATGACATATTAATGGAGAACATAGTCCATTGTTTTCACATTTGATGAATAAGCATTATTATTAGATTGTTTTTTGTCTACCCCCTAAAACATTTTACAATCAAAACTGCTTGAGAGGTCAAGGCCACAATGTTAGTGTTCTGAAAATTAGAAATATCTTCAAAATCATTTCAATTTTCACATAAAATAAATGTTCCCAGGACATTGTCCTTTTGAGAGTTTGACATTTCCAGAGGTAAGGTGTCCAATGCTTTACATTGGTAAATTGGGATATCATTTGCCGTGGTCACATCTTCACCTCATTTGATTTATACGCATCTCTGCAACACAAATTTTAGTATTCCAGGGCCTGTTGTGAATCCTTTGCTTATTGGGAATATAAGGGCCTAAGGTTTTATTAATTATTCTGTTTTTGCACATTGTAAATAACTATTGGTAAATGTAATAATTTTAAATAAAGTAAATGCATTTTCTTGTGCAGAAACTTTTTGTTGAGTGTTTTAGCACAGTTTCGATTAAACTTGAGTTTTTAATTTGCAGAGTCATCAAGTTTTAAGTTGGTAATGTGGAGTGGTCCATGCCTTGGTCAGAACTTCATCCTGTTCCGTTTGTCCTTGAATTATTGACACCAGATTCAAGATCTACAAGCTTTGTTGTCAATGTTTTGAATGATTGATAGAATGCAAGAATTCAAAAGCCATGAACCTGAAACTCAGCTATGGCACTTTTGACTATTGAATTCACTGTGATGAAATTACATTGGATCAGAATAAACCCCTCATTTCTTGGTGTAAAGAGATGACTTTAGAAGGAGCACTTCAATTAGATGAGGTCATCAACATTCTCAGGAACAATGCCAAGGTTGAATCTATCAAGCGGTTTCACATTGATTGAAAAGGCAGGGAAAATTATGTTGAGTTCTCCAGCTTCAACCAGAAGATTTCCCAACTAGGATTCTATATTTTACAGCGTCATCCGACTTTGGAAGCAACTATTGAAGTGTTTAAAATACTTAGGTTTTCAACTGACAAGAAATCCAAGGGCACCATTCTCTGCTACTACCTTTTCCAAAACTCAGGTGGGAATCGGTACCCAACAATTGCAGAAAAGAAAAATTCCATCTAGTCAGATGGTTGGTGAAGGAGGTTATTGTGTAAGGGGGCTTACCTCTACTTTATAGGCCTTTAAGTATTCTTGTAAATGATTCTTGGGATATTCATAGCTCATGGAAAACTCTGATGTTTTATTAGTTCAGAGATTTGAAAGTTCAGTAAATCATTCTGAGCTCAGAATCTAGTGAAACTTAACTATAATGAACTGCCTCGGGATAGGCAGAAAAGATTGTTAAATCAGTCTTTGAAGTGGATTGGCTACGACAACAACAACAACTTGCACTTATATAGCACCCTTTATGCGTCTCAGAACGTTTAACAGTGGCAGAGCCTGACTTCGAGCCGATGGTGGCGGGGAGATAACCGTAAGTCGAAAAGGAAGGTTTTCAGGCGAGACTTGAAAAAAGGGAGAGATGTGGCGGAGGGATTGAGAGAGAGTGTTCCAGAGTTTCGGAGTGTAATGGATAAATGCACGACCTCCAATGGTGGAGTGGAGGGTGCGAGGGACAAGCATTATGAAGCACAGCTGAGGGCCTAGCAGAACATAAAATTGGTTCTGAGTGAGCAGTTAGGAAGGTTGACCGAGTTGAAGCAAAGTGGTGTGACAGTGCTAGTGAACACTGAAACATATGTGTTCAATCTGACAGAAAGTTGAAGCTCACCCAGTATTCAATGTCTGACAAACAGTCAGTCAGAATTGCAGTGGATCTTAAACTGAGGACACAAGCAAAGCAATTTTTATTTGGAGATGGAAATGTATTGAAAAATGATGAAG